CCCCCCCCCCCCCCCCGGAGATATCGCTAATAGAAACACTGCCTGCAAATCTTAAAACGCAAATTGTTAAACAATTTGTAAAAGTATTATTTAAATCTCCATGTTCTTAAACACAAAGACCTTTAGATATTATTTTAAAACACCTTTATATGAAACAATAACTAGACCTATCAGGGGAGGGATCGGAGATTCGAATGTGAAACTCTTTTACTTTCAAATGATTTATCACAGTGGTGGGAAAATCGCGGCTCGCGGGCCGCATGCGGCTCTTTCGAGGCCCGAGTGCGGCTCGGCCAGTCGGCCACAAATCGGTTTTGACTCCGAAAAACATGGTTCTTGAAAAGAAATTTGGCTCTCAAATTGTTGAAAAAAATCGTCCTGCTGCTGATTTTGGCTCTTTTGACCAATGCGTTTGCACACCATATCATGATTATTTCTTCCATGTTACCAGAAGACTCGTCTCTTGTGTCATCATGTATGATATATGTGTCCTGTCTGCTGACTTAAGACCCAGCATTTACCGAGAACTTCAGTGGAAATATATAGAACCCCAGGCCCCAGTGGCTAAAAAGTGAAATAACATGTTATAAACAATTTGGTTGAACGGTAGCTCAATATTTTCATCAGGAGCTTGAAAAGAGCTGTACTCTTAGAAGATAAAATATCTGCCCTTAAAAAAATAGAGATGGACTCTTAGAAGATAAAATATCTGCCCTTAAAAATAGTGATGTACTCTTAGAAGATAAAATATCTGCCCTTAAAAAATAGAGATGGACTCTTAGAGGATAAAATATCTGCCCTTAAAATAGAGATATAAGACTCTTAGAAGATAAAATATCTGCCCTTAACAAAATAGAGATGGACTCTTAGAAGATAAAATATCTGCCCTTAAAAAATAGAGATGGACTCTTAGAAGATAAAATATCTGCCCTTAAAAAATAGAGATGGACTCTTAGAAGATAAAAAAATCTGCCCTTAAAAAATAGAGATGGACTCTTAGAGGATAAAATATCTGCCCTTAAAATAGAGATATAAGACTCTTAGAAGATAAAATATCTGCCCTTAACAAAATAGAGATGGACTCTTAGAAGATAAAATATCTGCCCTTAAAAAAATAGAGATGGACTCTTAGAAGATAAAATATCTGCCTTAAAAATATAGATGGACTCTTAGAAGATAAAATATCTGCCCTTAAAAAAAGAGATGGACTCTTAGAAGATGAAATATCTGCCCTTAAAAATAGAGATGGACTCTTACAAGATAAAATATCTGCCCTTAAAAAAAATAGAGATGGACTCTTAGAAGATAAAATATCTGCCCTTAAAAAAATAGAGATGGACTCTTAGAAGATAAAATATCTGCCCTTAAAGAAATAGAGATGGACTCTTAGAAGCCATACTTGTATATTGCTGTGTGACAAGCCATACGTGTATATCACCGTGTGCCAAGCTATACTTGTATATCACTGTGTGACAAGCCATACTTGTATATTACTGTGTGACAAGCCTTACGTGTATATCACTGTGTGACAAGCCATACTTGTATATTACTGTGTGACAAGCCATATTTGTATATTACTGCTGACAAGCCATACTTGTATATCACTGTGTGACAAGCCATACTTGTATATCACTGTGTAACAAGCCATACTTGTATATCACTGTGTGACAAACCACACTTGTATATCACTGTGTGACAAGCCATACTTGTATATTACTGTGTGACAAGCCATACTTCTATATCACTGTGTGACGAGCCATACTTGTATATTACTGTGTGACAAGCCATACTTGTATATTACTGTGTGAGAACCCATACTTATATAACAGAGTGTGACAAGCCATAATTGTATATCAGAGTGTAACAAGCCATAGTTGTATATCACAGTGTGACAAGCCATACTTGCATATCAGAGTGTGACAGCCCATACTTGTATATCAGAGAGTGTCAAGCCATACTTGTATATCAGAGTGTGACAAGCCAAACTTGAATATCAGAATGTGAGAAGCCATACTTTTATATATCAGAGTGTGACAAGCCATACTTGTATAGTGACAAGCCATTCTTGTATAATTATGTGACACGCCATATTCGTATAGGGACAAGCCATACTTTAAAACGAACACATTCCCGTGTTTACAGACATGAGTTCAAGTTCAAGGACACATCTATTCAGGTACAAAAGCAGCAGGCTGGCCTATTGCGTATATTTGTAACGGTGACTGGACTCTGCTGTCACATGGTGTAAACTATATACTCTTAGTAATTAAAACAGGGATCTTATGGTGATGACTCTATAGTGTGTAGCAAGACTTTCGCCGAATAACTGGAGTTCCTGGGTGTAAGTTGTTATTTCGAACAGTCTTGACCAACATCCCCCCCCCCCACTCACCCACGTTTCCCGTCCATGGATGCTTGTATGCCAAGGAAGATAATTTGGAATGGCAAAAAATGAATGTTACGACTTGAAAAGATACCAGATAAGCAAACCAGCCCACCTGACATGACTCAAGGCGTGCACACGCTGACGGACACCAGGGCCTTGTCACAGGGGATTTCAAGTGAGCTCTCGCTCCTTGCGCAAAACCGGTTTTTTTTTTTCCTTGACCATTTCGTGGTGGTACTTTTTCTGTATATGAAGGGGTGGCATTATCAGACTCCTCCCCCCCCCCCCC